CGGATTGCATGTGAGTTAAAATCAGGTGATCAACGATTAGCGATGCAAGTGGTGCGTTATTTATGCAGGCCACTGTACAAATGCAGGGTCTGATGAGTCTGAGTCTGAGTTTGTGCGGAGACAGCGGGGCAAGTTGTGCTTTTTGATTGACTTCATCTTTTTGCCTCAGCTTCTTTTTTAGCTCGCTTTCCTTTTGACGTGCGTTCATGTCCTTCTCTTGCCAATTGCTATTTGAAAATTAATTTAATTATTCTTTAAAAAAAACATATTATAAAAAAAAACGCATTAAAAATAAATTAGAAGTACGTGTGTATACGATCAACCCTTCTTGCACTTTTCTTGCACGATCCATTGTTCTACAAGTACATAGTGTTCAACTTGTCGTCTAACGTTCAAATTGATAAAACTGTGCTTTTTGAAAGTTTACATTCTCCTAAAAAACAGAAAATAAAATATAACAGAATAGTAAAATATGAGTAGAAATTTATTTTTTATTTATCATTAATGGTGGTAGGGTTTAGCAAGACTGTTTTAATTGTATGAAATAATACAATTTTAGTTTTTACATCACTATGTTTACAAGTAAACCATGTGAAACCTAAGTCGGACTTACTGTACAAGCCCTGCAAGGACCGGATTAAGGCCCCAGGAGGTAGGCCTCAGCGCCAGCATGAGCTGAAATTCAGACAACAATACGATGTGTTGACAGTCGGCGAATCTTCTTCTGGAAGCGAAGCATGGCTTGAAGTTTATAGCGTTTCATATCGTACGCGTAGAAAAGCAGATAAATTCTGCTGATATCATCTTTGCTCTGAAAGTTCGCATGCCTTGGTCATAGCGCAATCACTCCCCCCTCGAGTTTGCGGGATATTGGTTCTCGACCTACATCTCAAGCAGTCGGGGAATGCAAAGGCAGAATTCATCGAGTTGTTTCTCCACGAGCTGGACATCTTGGAGTTGTATCGGCTACTTTCATCCTGCAAAGAAACACGAACTCACCACGGGACTTACTAGTACTTAGAGTGCACTGTGATGAACTGGTAACTTCTTGGAACGGAATTTCATCTTTAATCTTTTGTGTTTGATGAAGTTGGAGGAATACCCCTTAAACAAGTCATCATGATCTCATCCCACACATCACACATCATAAGGCGTCTCCAGAATCCACTTATGTTTTTCGTCGTTCTCGAATTTTACAGCATTACCGTGCCCGCATCTCCTTGTTTTGCTCGACACCCTTTCTTTTCACCACGACGTGGCATCAGTTGTAGGTCCATCGCGCCGTCACCATCTGAGTTTCAATCGCTTCTCATAGGTAGGAGAGACGTTTTGCTTGCCAGAGGCTACTCTACTTCCTTCTTGGATCTTTTGGATGACCTTGCGGTTGCAATCAGTATTGAGGGTATCACAATCCGAGATCCCACGAGTTCGGATCCGAAGTGGCACAGTTGGTATGATGGTAATCATTACTATTACGTATTCATATTCAGAACTACCCCAGCTCACCCACGATCGATTTTTCCTTCACGTGAGTTTTCCTACCTCTGACGATCTCGAAACCAATGAGGATGCGCAAATTTTTGATCAACCCGGCAAAACAAATCCTCCACAAGAAAATGAACAATGCAAAAAATACGGGAAATACACATCCTACAATATATTACCGGAAATTTCAAAAATGCATTTGTCACTTTGAAACCTGATATCTCGGCATTCGGTGATCCCATTCGAATAAAGATATCACCATTAGATTCATATAGTCGAGACAAATCTAATAGTGATATCTTTGTTCGAATGTGATCACTGGGTCCGATAAATCTAGTACCCAAAAAAAGGTGTCAGGTCATGTGATGATAAACCAATCAAACCAATAAGAACGCGCAAAAATTCTGCGCAACCAATAGGAATGTAGCAAATTTTTTATCAACCCGGCAAAACAAATCCGGATGTCGGGATATCAGGAAGACATATAATCTTACGTACTCCCTAATTTTTAATTAGTGCGGAATGCTTCGGGTAATTGTGGCCGGGAAAATCGGATCGGAAAATCACGTGAAGAGAAAATCGATCGCGGGTGAGCTGGGTAAAATCAAGATCTGGTGATTCTTCTCCGATCAATAGATTTTTAGCCAATCATAATTAATCTTTATCCCACAAATTTTTGTCAAGTGAAATTCAAGTACCACCTTCACGCTGAGCAAGAGCCTGAAGGAGATGGCGTTGGAAAATCTTCGTGAGACTTTGTTTTTTGCAATATGGATCGATAGTAATATTATTATCGCCATCGCAAACACCCATCGATTTATAAATTTTAAAAAACATACAGCTGAGCTGATAATCTTTGTCAGGGAATTTCGAAATCCTAGGAAAAGTCAATCAATTGGTCTTAAGTCGAAATATAATAAAAGAACTTCTATATTTTAATCTCCTACTGAAATTTGAATTTTTGAACACGTCTTTATGCATGGAAATGTATCATAATTTAATTAGCCATTTTTGAAATGATAATAACTCTTGGTTACCAAGAAATGAAGCAAAAATTAATTATAACAAAATTTTTTCGTCGCACAACCTTCTTAACTTACACTTTGTTAACTTATCCACTACTACTATAAACATCATTCCTGCCTTTCGAACAACCATGCATTAGATAATATAGTCGACAAAAATTCTATCGAAACCAAACTGAATAGACTCTGGATCTCTTGGCTTTCTCCGCCGTTATGAAATCCATAAAAATCTTGAGATTGCATCGCTAAAATGAACGTTATACGCAATATTTACCTTGATAACATTATCTCTTAAATCATTTAATGAACAAAAATTCATTAGGACAATCAATATAAAGTAGCAAAGCACTTT